AAAAAGCTCCGCCATAATAAATTAATACAGTTATATGCTGTTTGCACCGTTGAGGAGCCCATCTACATTATTACCGAATTAATGAAGCATGGTTCTCTATTGGAATATCTACAAGGTATGTGGAATATATTTCAATATATTCTTATTAATATCAAACTATCAACTCATCAATAAAAATATATATATAAATATATAATACATGCAAAACTTTTGGGTTTATGTGTCATTATTCAGTTTAAAAAAATTTTATAGTAATTGCAGGTAAAGGACGTAGTCTTAAGATGTCGACACTCATAGATATGTCAGCACAAATCGCTGCTGGTATGGCATATTTGGAATCACAGAACTATATTCATAGAGATCTGGCAGCACGTAATGTACTGGTTGGCGATAATAATATTGTTAAAATAGCTGATTTCGGGTTGGCGCGGTGAGTTGGTTTTACCACAGATCCACAACTTATAGTGGAGTTGTTAAACAAATTAATTTCATGCATCATAAGTGAAAATTATATATGAAAGTACAGATTTTATAAAAGATCTTATATATTTGCAGTATACTTTTTCAAAAAGTTTTTAGTGAATAATACAGGAATTATATATTTTTATACAGGAATTATATATTTTGTGATTTATTCTTAAATCAATTTTTCTCAGTGATTTGCGTTTAATCATTTCTCTTAATATATGCTGTTATATTATAAATTAATTTTTTTAATATCATAGATCGTATATTATATACTTTCAGAGAAGGTATCAAGATTAAAAGAATATATCGCATTTTTTTAAATAAACAATTCATCTGGAAATCTTACCAAAATGCTCCAAGGTTTATTATACAAATCAGTCAAGTTGACCAACACTTTTAGACTCTGTGGATTCATTACTACTTAACACGGGATCTGAACCAAAAACCTTTTTTTTGTTGATGTAGTCACTAACTTGAGTCCAATAGATCTTTGGAGACGTCCCATTGAAGTGACTACGTTTATCCGATTTAACCCAGATTGGTTTCAATAAAAACCTCAATCCATTATTGTTCCTTCACAATCTCCTCCCCTCTTATGCTATTGTTACCTACGCATATCCTAACCTATGTTCATGTATTTCTTACGAACACTAAAATTGCTCAAATCATCAATTCAAAAGAATTGTTCTATGGTTTCTTCTTCGTCCCTACAGCTTCTGCAGTTGTCATGAAAAAATACTGCTAGCCTACAACGTGCCTTCCCAGTATCCCATGACCAATTATACTAACCAGAATATTGGAGATATTCACTCTGGAGGGTCTGAACACTTCCATTGTTTTTTGTTTTTATAAAGTTTCGCCATCCTGAGCCATTACCAATACATTTATTTGTAGTTTACTAAGAATCTATTGTATTTCTCAAATAACCTTTTTTATCAACAATAATTTAAAGATAACGATAGCTGTTCCAATATAACTACTGACTGCTCCCAGTGGAAGATTAATATCTTTAATGCGCTTGGCTTGAATTTATCTTTAATGTCCTTGTGTCCACAGAAATCCATTATTACGTATAGAATCTTGTATACATTATCCATATTCAAAAGTGTGTAAAATAGATATCAGAAAACAGTAAGTTAAATTACTATATTGGATACAAGATCCAAGAACGATCAAATTTTGACAAAAAATTTCCATTACAATCTAAGTTAACTTGTGTTTGAAAGACAGTTATATTCATACTCCTATCGGAACATCTACATGATTTACAAAAAGAAAAATAAAATAATTTTATAAAAATAATTTTTTTAATTTATTTTATAAAGGCTTATTAAAGAAGACGAGTATGAAGCACGAGTCGGTGCACGTTTCCCCATTAAATGGACAGCACCTGAGGCTGCTAACTACAGTAAATTCTCCATAAAATCTGACGTTTGGAGTTTCGGTATTCTTTTAACTGAATTAGTAACATACGGTCGAATTCCATATCCAGGTTAGTAAAAATCATATTTATATTTTCAATAATTGTTTAATTAATAATAATATTAATTTAATTATATTAATTTAAAATATTAAATTTTTTTATAGGAATGACAAATGCTGAAGTATTAACACAAGTTGAACATGGATATCGTATGCCCCAGCCACCGAATTGTGAACCACGCCTCTATGAGATTATGTTAGAATGCTGGCACAAAGATCCTATGCGACGACCAACATTCGAAACACTACAATGGAAATTAGAAGATTTCTATACATCAGACCAGAGTGATTATAAAGAAGCGCAAGCCTACTGATAAATGCTTTATGCTTCCAGCAACGCGTCAAGCAATAGCATCAGCAGCAATTGCCACAACAACGGCAACAGCGGCAGCACCAGCAACAACAATAAAAAACGTCAACGACAATTGCATAAACAAAAGCATGTAGTAGAAGCAATTAAAAATCAATCGGACAAATAAAAAAATTCATATAACAATTTCCATACATTGATATATACATATATAACAATAAAGTGCCGGTCACATTTCTATGTTATCGGTATGTTAAACAAATAAGCATACACAAATACAAAAATGTATACATAAATAAAATTAAAAATTATTTGATTAATTAAATAGTATAAACTTTGTATTATTGCATTAAGTAATGCAATTAATTATTATGCAATTCTTTTAATTTCTTTTGTTTTTTTTTTTAATTGAAACAATAATTTTTTTTTATTAATATTAAATTTTTTCTACAACAAATTTAAATGTATTATTATATTAATATTATTTATATATAGTTACATATAAAGTCAGAATTTATTTATACAAACATCTACATATATATAAATATATGTATATATAAATACATACCGTATCTATTTATATATATATATTTCTGTATACATAAGCGTATATTCATTGCATCAGTTGGTGAAAACCTTTTTTATATTTATATATATACAATTGAACTAAAAATATAAACACAAAATTATGTTCATTCTTTTATTATTTGTATTTTTAACTGCATTTTTTTACTTACTATACATATATGTAATGTTTGTTGTAATATTTTTGTACGTCTACCTTTTGCATTATTTACACAAATCAAGAAAAAAAAATTTATTTACAAAAAATAATACATATTTATTATTATCACACAATATACAACAAAATCAAATCAAAAGAATAATGCGTACTACTTTATTTAAATGTTAATAATTATAATTATTTTTATTATTACTATTATTACTTAATTTAATTAATTCTAGAACAAACAAAATATATTATAATTATGAAATAAATAAAAATAAATTGACAAAAATCAAAAAATAATAAATTTATATGATTTAAGTGCAGAAATTGGATATGAAAAATTTTTTACTAAATAAGTTGACAACGCGTTGCTGAGAAGCATAAAAAAAAAAATATTTTTATAGTAAATATTATAAGTGCTCTATAGTATATAAAATTTTAAATTGAAAATTGCTTATTTTTTAATTTAAAACAAAAACAATTTATGGCACGATTTTATTTTCTTGGACACGCTTATTTAATAGCAATGAAATATAGTAGAGTCAGCTATTTTGAACATCTTATTACACTCTGCTATATGCGAATGTCTTGAGGTATCATGACTTAAAGTTATAAAATTTTAAAATTAATTATACCAATTGCCAACTAGTATGTGCGCATTTTGCTTTGATTACACAAAGAAAAACATTAGGGATAGAGCTATCAAACAGTTCGATATTGTGAACACTCTCCAGAATGGAGTGTTAAACTCTTAAAGACTACCAATCCCTTTGTCACCAATGGCAGTTATGCAGGACACACAAAGAAAGGAGTTAATGGTAAAGCTGTTCAATATTGTGAACACATGGATATCGAGGCACTTGCAGAGTTGAGCTCTTCAATTTGGAAAAGCTTCAAAGCGTGATATCATAAAAAAGCAATATACTGTAATGAATGTAATCACAATTACATCTATACTTACTAGTGAAATCATGATGATAATATATATTTTCTTCTTTTAAATGGAGTATGGAGTATACTAGTGAATTACTGTACCATGAAAATACAAGACAAACAACGGGTACGAAGTATACCCTCCATTTCTTGTGACAGTTTTTAAATTCAAAGTTTGTTATCTTGACAACTAATATTTGTTGATATAAAACATAGTCACAAAAGGTGATTAAAATAGCTGTCTTTATTAAAAGTCATTATCTGGGCATGCCTGAGAAATCGTAATCATGCTCAACTTATATAGAATTTTAGAAGAGCTCTTATAAGATATTAAGGAAAATTGTAAGTTTACAAAAATAATAATTTAGGCAAGTGTTTACATCAATATTTTTTGATTACTTTTTTTTCTGTTTTTAATGTATTTTATTTTTTTTTTTCGTCTTAAATTTTTTTTTATTTTATTTTATTTTTATTTTATTTTATTTTTATTTTATTTTATTTTTTTTTTATTTTATTTTTTTTTTATTTTATTTTAATTTTATATTTTATTGTAATTTGTTTTTTTTTTTATTTTAACTTTTTTTTATTTTAATTTTTTTTTATTTTATTTTATTTTTTTTTATTTATTTTTTCGTAGGTTTTGTCACATTGAATATTGGTTATATAAAGTAAATATACTGCAACGTGAGTATATAAATGGTTTTTTAATGTGATTTGACATTTTTTTAACAAAATATTTGTTTTTTCTTAAATATTACAAACAAATTACGAAGAATTTTATAAGAGACCAGCTTACTGTATAAAATTTTTATATAATTTTTGGGAAAGCTTGTATTTCGTACTATATAGATCTCTAACGAGTACAACTAGAGATATTTTCTGAATAACAACATTAATAGCAAATTTTTTATAAAAATACAAATTCAAAGTTATAGTTTAAAAAAAATAAATTCATAAAATTACAACAATTTTACATATAACCTTATATGCGATATTTAAAACTGCAGTTAGCATTTATATGTAGCTATGGTTTATTCGTTTTTTATAACATTAGCACAGTAAATGCATTGCTATTCTTGTTCATTTAAAAGTAAAAAAAAAAAAATTTGAAGCTTGAGTAACGCAATTTAGTTTAACATTTGTCTTGTAGGATTAACGTGGGGTCAGTCTTTGAATATGAACTACCGAACAATCCAATAATTTCAAAAACTACTGAACATTTGACAATATTTAAAGTCAGAATTTGATATATATAAAAATAAAACTTTTATACTTATGTATACTCAACAATAGCTGGGATCACTTAGGTGTTTCATTATAATATGTATATTATATCAATATGTTAATATTATATCAAATAGAATATTAAATTATTGAGATTAATTTAATGTCTGACATATCTTTTTCCTTCATTTAATAATAGTTTCTTTGACTTCAAATCAATTTATTTTATTTACTTTACTTAAAAACTTTGAAAAACTTCTATTGCTACTTACATTGAATCTAAAGACGCTAGACCATAAAGACCTTCGGCAGCATAAATTTCGAAATTCAAAAATAATATATATTTACATTCGAACTTAAAAATTTTTTCAAAACCTAGCCTGTGTAGATCTCGGCATAATAGCTTATTTAAGAAAAGGAGTTGAAAAATAAATAGCAATAACAGTATTTATTATTTTAATGTTATTCTATTTTGTATTTTTCCTTTGTCATTTGTGTTGAATTGTTGCTATTTTACTCTATTATAAAAATATTATGTCAGTACTTTTAGGTTGACTATAGACCATAGTCGAATATGTTTGAAAAAAAAATATAATTTTTAAAAATAAATTAAAATGTTTTATATTATTTAAATAATTGATCAATTAACCCGTTTAAAAAATAAAAATAATTAATAAAATTTTGTCATTAAAACAATAAATTATAAATCTTTTAATAGCAATTATTATTTATAATAATTTAAATTGATTTTATAATTAATTATATCATATTATTTAAATTAAATGAAAATGTTTTATTTTTATTAATAGTTTTGTAAGTTTAAATAAATATTTTTTTTTATGAACATAAGTAATAATATATATTTAATTATATTTTACAATTACTTTTAGATAATTTTAAGTATTTAATATAAATATATTTATTTTATTTATAATTTATTTATTCTATATTATTTGTTTGTTTTTTTTTAAGTTAATACTCATAAATTTTATGTGATTATTTTTAATTGTTTTATTTTTACATCAGAAATATTATTTTACTTTTCAGTTATGTTAGCTTATCAATGTAATTAGTATACTAATTTACTTTTTAATAATAATGTTTTATTATTTTAAGTTATTTTATAAAATATTTTTATTTTAAATTTTATATATTTATTTTTATATTTTATATATTTATTTTAAATATTTTTTTTTAAATATTTTTATTTTAAATATTTTTATTAAATATTTTTATTTTAAATATTTTTTTTTTAATATTTTTATTTTAAATATTTTTATAAAATATTTTTATTTTAAATATTTTTAAAATATTTTTGCTTCAAATAATTCCGCTCAATTTTTTCCATATTATTTGTATTATTTTCATAACATTTTTTACATTTTGTTTATAATTATCACTAATAAAAATACACTGAAATGTTATATAAATTATATGTGTTTTAAATTTTTTGTAAAATATTTTTATTTTAAATTTTATATATTATTTTTATATTTTTATGTATGTTTATTTTAAAAAATTTTTTTAAATATTTTTTTTTTAAATATTTTTATTTTAAATATTTTTACAAATTATTTTTATTTTAGATCCTTAGCTCTAATTTCGTATGTTATCTTTAATGTTTTTTCTTTATATCTATCTAATTTTTTATATTATTGCATCTCAATCAATTATTCCTTTTTGTTGAAATCATATATTTATTTAGTAAACACTTGCTCATATTTATTTATTGATATATAAATGTTTAACTTAATATTAATATTCATTATATATATAATATAATATTTATGTATAATAGTAAATTATATATTAATAAGTATGTTAATTTTTTTTATATTGTATGTATACTTGGTATATATTTTAAATATTAGTTTATAAGCCCAATAATTATGTGTAATATTAATCGTTAACTGCCACAAAGGTTTTTCCAATAGCGAATCATTTCTTTATATATTAGTTTAAAAATTTAATATATTTATATATATATTAGCTGAAAAAATAAAATTTTTCTTTATAAAAACAATATTTGAAATATAGAACACTTACTTAAAGCAAGGCTGATTTTATAAAAGCAACATTTCATTTAATATTTTATAATTCGAAAATTATTTTTTATTTGTAGGAATACTTCACAATAAATCAATAATTTATACATATGTATATACATTATTAAGTAAATTATGATATATACAATATAATTGCAGTCTTAATATTATATTATATTATATTAGCGGCGCACATTTAAAGGAAAAATAATTTTAATATATAAGTACTTTGAATTTTATAAAAAAACATTTTTTTAATTAATTAAACTATTTTTATGAAAAAATAGAAATATACTTATTTCTATATGATATCAAATTTATAGTTTTTAGTTTTATGATTATTAAATATTTTAAGAAATATATTCAAAAATTAGAATGATGTCATTAACAATATACATATATATATATATGAATTAAATCTATAACAGGTTTAATATTTAAATAAAATTGAAAAATATGTAAAAATCGTATATAAATCACATGTGTACACATATATTAAAATAATATAAATAATTATAATAAGCGCTATTTAATGCATATATAAATAATATGTGTAAAGGAAAAGAAAATGAAATATATATGAAAATATGTGTGACTATATACATATTTTAAATTAATTTTAATGAATATATTACATAAAAATATGAGTTGAAGAAAATTAAATTCGTTTTTTAAACACAACGAAAAAAAGTTTAATTTATTTCATCTTCTTCAAAGTGCTCTCCTCCTGCGGCAATACACGCATGCCAACACTTGATCCAATTTTCTATACAAGTTTTATAGGCCGCCGAAGGTATGGCCTTTAGTTCACGCAGCGAATTCTCTTTAATGCCCTCTATGGTCTCAAAACGCTTTCCTCGCAATGGCAATTTTAGTCGGGGGAAGAGGAAATAGTCACACGGGGCCATGTGTGGAGAGCACGGTGCTTGGTTGTTGATATTAGTGAGGTTTTTGGCCAAAAACTACGACACAACCAACGCTGTGTGAGCCGGTGCGTTATCGTGGTGTAAAATCCATGAGTTTTCCTTCCATAAATCTAGCCTCTTTTTGCGTATGGCCTCACGCAAACGACGCATAACGGCCAATTAATTATCCTTATTGACCGTTTGACCATCCGGAAGGAATTCATAGTGCACCACACCACGAATATCGAAGAAAACAGTCAGCATAACCTTGATTTTGGACCGACTTTGGCGTTCTCTTTTCGGTTTCGGATCACCTTCCGTCGATTTTGTTTGGTGGGCTTGTCAAATTCATAGACCCATGTCGCATCACCAATTATGATGCGTTCGATGAATGTGGGGTCACGATCTATTCAGCTTTTTTGGCACCAGCCGAGAAGCGACGCGTTTCAAACCCAAAACATCACTTAAAATGTGTGCGGCCGATCCATATGAGATGCCCAACAACACTTCAATCTCTTTAATCGGTTTACAAAGATTTTCCAACACGATCCGCTTCGCCGATTCAATGTTTTCTTCAGTAACAGATGTTGTTGGGCGACCAGGGATCTCATCATGGTCCAAGCTTGTGCGACCGTCTTTGAACCTTTTAAACCATTCGTATACTTGTGGTTGCGACACACACAAATCACCAAAGATCTTTTTTAACATTTTCAACGTTTCGGCACAATGGAATCCATTTGCAACACAAAATTTGATGCACGTACGTTGTCCTTGATCCATTATAAAAATCGTCACACGAAAATTCTTCGATTTCTTTGTATAGGCGCCAAACAACAACTAATCTTACGATATGCGTTAAACTTTGACATAATGTGTATAATAGTGTTGCCAGCGTGAAAATAAAAAAAAATTACCGATTGGATAAGCGCGGGAATTTAAAAAATTAAAATTCTCGTTCTTTTTTGATCACAAGGTGTAAAAACAGGCATTACTTGCTTGTCATTGTAATATATGTATATATAAGTATGTATATATATGTTTATGTTTTAATTGCATATAATACATATTTATGAACATATGTGTGACATTAAGTAAGTAATTAAAATAAATTTAATATAAATATAACAAAACAATAAATGAAAAAAATATTATAAATATAATAAAAAATTATAATTGTATTTCAAATAAATGAAGCATATATGAATTATATATTAAAGATAAGAATTTTAAATAATATACCGAAAATATAAATTTAAATTTAATTGCAGATTATATATACTTATAAAACATACATTTTTAAGAAAATCAAAATCAAAATTATTTCAAATATAAAATACGTAAAACATAGAAAAGAATAAATATAAGCGACATTAAATTTCATTATAAATAAATAAAAATATATATATTTTAAGACCAAGTCATACATAAGTACTTATATATATTATTATGATTATAAATATGTATTAAAAATTATATGTACTATTTTATATAAATTAAATATTTAATTAATTAAATATTTCGATAATATTTAAAGAGCATTAAGTTAAATATATACCATATATTAATTAATTTTAAACAAGTCATTTTTGATGATTTTTAATTCATTAATTAGTTAATGAACCTTCAAAATAATAAAAATAAATTTAATTTTAAAAATTTGTATTTTAATTTTTTTATATGCAAGGTATTTAGGATGATTAATTTGTTTTATATGTATAAATTATAAAATATATATTATATATCACTACTTGATTATTTCATAGTTTTTTAAATATAAATTATTTGGAAAATATATTTCAATAAATAAATTTAAACTAAGACGTGAAAATCTAACTCTGAAGATTTTAAGAGCATTGTTGTTGCTTTACATATTTTCTTTCTTTCGTAAGTTACAAATAAATTTTTGCTATTCTGAATGAAAAAATTACGGCTATTATATATTGAGAAACATTTATTATTATTATCATTTATCATCGCTATTTCTTCTTCCTTCAGTAATAAAGATTTAAACTCTAACAAATTAAATAATTGAAGAAAATATCTTTTATTGCCCGCACACATGAGATCACAAATAATCATTAAATGATGATTTATTTGTTAATATTATTTAAATTAGATTTCTATTTCTCTCTCTCTCTCTCAATTATCTATAGTGGTCTTCAATACACTAAACACAGATCGTTTTTACTCAGCTTCATTTAGCAACAATCTTAATGATAATTTATACCGTCAGGGTATATTGTCTAAATGATTTCATTTAGCCACAATTTAGTGCTTGTTAAGGTGTTCGATACTGGCAACGCTGCCTAATTTGAATGAAACGAAATGAAAAATGAAACAAAACACAATTTGTTGATGAATTTAAGACTCGTAAGACAATTTATACAAAGTGTTAAATATCAGTAATTGTAAGTATTTCCTGTATTAAACATTATTTTAATTGTTTATATTTAATACATTATTTATATCACAATGAGATATATGACTGTTTCATTTATTTGTTTTGATTCCAGATGAGTGCATTGAAGAAGTCGAAAAAGCAACCGTGGACGGATGCCGAAGAGCTTCGCCTCTTAGAATTGTGGGAAGAGAATATAGATGATTACCGAAAGTCCAGAAGAAATGCACACATATGTAAAAAAATTGCGGATGAACTGGACAGTCAAAAATTTGGTGCCTATGAGGTTAACACTAAAATAAACAATTTACAGAGCCGATACAAGTATGAACGTCTTCCACATTTTTGTTTAAATAGTTAAATAATTGTAAATGATCATTTACAGGGCGGAAAAAAGGAAAAAAGAAATGTGTACTATTGGAGATAGCAACACTCAGTGGAAACACTTTGAAAAAATCCATAAAATTATTAATTCAAACTCTGCCAAAATAAATGTTGTAAATGAATCATTCTTATATGTAAAAAATTTAAATATTTATTGATAAATTATTTATTTATATATTATGTTATTTTATAGAGCTCTTCTTTAAACTCTGGTGAACGCAGCCCAGTTGAGATTGCTTCGCCTTTATCACCAAAAACATGGGAGTTACCATCGCTAGATAGTGATGAATCCTCCAGGTCTGCTGCAAAAAAGAAAAAATTTAATTACCAAAATGAAACAATAAAGGCGATAAAGGAGCAAACAGAAACAATTAAAAAAATACATAAAGAGAATATATCTTTATTAAGAGTAGTTGTAGATGACAACAAAAAAATAAATGAAGACATATTACAGCTATTGAGATACCAAAATGAGACTGACAAGCAATTCTTACAAATTATGAAAAGTTTAATAGAGTAATGTAATTAAGTTTAATTCTTAGCAGTTTAATTATTATAAAATTATATTAATTAATTAACTGATTAATATTAAAAGTATTATAATTAATAATATTACTGTTATTATTATATTTATTGTTATATTAATTACTATTTTTATGAAAATATTATTATTATTAAACTACTATTATTAAATTACTATTACTATTTTATTAAATCACTATTATTATTAAATGAAAGTTCTCAAAGCAAAAAAAAATAGGGCCTATACTGAAAAATGTGAAAAAGTGGAATAACTCCCTACGAAAATGGTGTTTCAGTCCGTATACTACATATTATGTTAATATGATAGAGGTTTGTAGTACACCATTTCGACGACGGTAGACTTTACGATGCACAAAGCTTTTCACTTCCTTCCGCAAAAAAAAATTCAAAAATTCAGAAATTCAATTAAATAAAAATAAAGATTAGAATTAGAATTTTATAAAAATACTATATTATTTAGTTTAAATACTATTTTTTATGTTAATTTACTCACGAAAACTCAACGCAATCGCATCTCTAATAGCTATTGCCTCCACATTATTTTCACCTGCGTTTGTTTTGTAATTTGGTTGGGTAGGAGATGCAGCCATTTGCTTCTTTGCATTCCTCATCCATATTGATTTCACCTCATCTTTCTCTATTTTTAAAAAATTATGTAAAATACAGCACGCTCTTATAATGAGATTGGCAGCTTGTGGTTCGACTTCCAAGCCTCTGCCTATTTTACGAAAGCGTGATTTTAGCTGTAGAAACGCATTTTCAATTACACTATGACACCTCATTAGTCGGTTATTAAACTGTTTTTCTGGAATTGACTGTTGCAGTTTGTATGGGTAGGGTTTCATAAAATGAGGTGATAAACGAAACGCGGAATCGCCAATAAGTAACAGAGGTACCCTAACGCTTTCTATTAATTTGGAGTGCTGAGTAAAGATTTTACTTGCTTCGTGAAATTTTTTTAAAGAGCTTTTTTCAAAAATATATAAGTCATTCTCTCTTCCCGCACCTCCAACCTTAATGTATGTAAATTTTGACCTAGCGTAATAGACAAAACAATAATATTAGGTGTGTTTGTGTTGAATTCGTAGCGCAAACCAACCTATGATCGCAACTAGCAAGCAAAATCACTGAATACCAGCCTTTATTATTACAGTAATCGATAGCTTCTTCCTTACTCGGCTGAATTTCTATATGGCAGGTATCTGTTTTATTTTAAATATTTTTTAATTATGCTTAAAATATTCTTGTTTATTTAACAGTTAATTACCAAAGGCTCCAAAACATTGTGGGAAACCAAGTTGAGAAAAACCTTCAACAGTTTCCTTAATTTCTTCTGTGGTAGGTGGATATGAGGAAATGCAGTGTGGAAGTATATTACAAACCCTATTACAGAAATCTAACACAATTTCATTGACAGTACTTTGTTTTACTTCAAATAAACTTGCAACAGTCTTATATTTTGCTGAAGAGCCAAGCGCGAATAAAGCAATAGCCACTTTTTTGCCCAGTCCAATGTAAGGTCTTACATTGTTATCCGAATCAACTACCATTTGTACTTTTCTACATATTTTACTGAAGGACTGCCTGCTGAGGCGGAAATTTTGTTTGAACTTGTTATCGTTCATTGCTGGTACATCTTGTTCCCAAAAGCTTCTATTCCGATCCTATAAGAAAATTATTTTGTCATTTATATGTGCATGAAAACATTTTTATACTAACGAATTCCTGCAACTGTCCGGTGTCAATTGCAGCGGGTATAGACAATGGTATCGTTGCCATGAAGTTCGCGTTTATGTTAAAAAGTGTATTTATAGTTTGTTGATTTTTTATTATTTTAAGCAATAATAATTTTAATTTTTGATGAAATAAACGTCGCCTTTTTAAAAACACAATAACCGCCAGTTTTTTTAACTTCTGTTTTGTGCTCATTTTGATTCAAAATTCACAAGCTGAATAACTGAAAAGTCAATATTACCACACAGCTGATTTTAAATGATAATTAGCAACTGCCGTCAGTTCATATTTTTAATGATCATTTAAGCGTTGCCATCTGTCAATATTCTATATAAGGCCAAGTACTAAAATTTTTAAATAAACGTTTAGTATTTTTTATTATATTCTATATTTCGTCTCTACTTGAGAATCATTATCAGGATCACGATCTAACATAAATTAATATTAATAAAATTATATCTACGTCATTCTCTTTATTCTTTTGTCTATATATAGAATATATTAAACTTTGAATTATTTAACGAAAAGGGACGTTCAATCGAAATAGAAATTATATAAAGACCATTATAAAAAAACCGGTCGATAACTAAATTCAAAAAATTTTATACTTCTAAATAAATTTATTTTATAAAACTATTATCGTGAACTATATAATATAAATATAAAGCTAATGCTTATTTAACGCTAACTACTGAAATATTTATGTATATATATTATTTAAAGACTATTATCCTAAAATATATAATAGAATTAGAAAGATTTAAATGTATGTAAATTGAGTGCGCTGAAAATATTCAAAATATTGGATGCTACAATGCTGCATACATGGTTCCTTATTGTTACGCTATTTGCTGTCAAACAGTTTCTGCACAACCATTGTACTAAAATCCATTTAGCATGAAAAATTGACATAAAATTCCCTAAAAAAACAGTAGTCCTTAAAATTTGGACACCATAGAGATTTTTTATTAAAAGTTTAATAACAATTTATTGTTTAAAATAGGTGTTAATACTTTCACTTGAAGATATCTACGCTGACAATAGGTGTGTTTCAGCAAACAATGTTCCGCTCAATTTTACATACAAAACAATAACAATGGGGTGAACCAGCAATTGATCTGGTTCAATGTGGAATGTATGTACAAAATAAAAGTGGAACATATTTTAATAAAAATGTTAGCAATGCGATTTTAACATATGATACGATGCAATAAAAAATATAAACAAAACCACATTAATATTTATTTTTTATTTAATTTATTTATTTAATATGTCATTATTATTTATTTTATTGTTTTATCTATTTAATGTACAGTTTTAATTATTACTATAATTAAAATGATTACTTTAATTGTTCATGCTTTATTGTTATTAAAAATTGTTTTTTGATAATTTATTAAAATAAAATACTTTGAAATAAAAACATAAATCGTTCTCTCTTGGTTATTTTGTGTTTTTTAATTGGAATTTATAAACAAATCTATAGGAATATAAAAAATAATTAATAAAAAAGTAATCATATTTTTTGCACACATGAAGAATATGTGTGCATAGAAATAATTGGTAGTACATAGTTGAAGTCTAAAATTTTTCCTGAAATCTTCATCGGAAAAACTATTAATAGTTTGTATAAAATTCCCTATATTTCCATGCTAATGCATGATGCACTTAAACTAAATTTTGAAAAGGGAGTGGAGTGAGTGTGAGGGGGGAGTGTTCAAACGTGCAATTTTAATTTATTTACTACAAAATTTAAGTAAAGTTTTAAAATAAATAAAAACTTATATGTATTAATTTATAAATTTCAGCAGATTTTATATTTTTTTTATATTTTGTATATAATATTTTTTAATTTTAAAATAAAGTTTTGTAATAAAACATAGCTGACATGAATGATGCGTTGCCAATTACTTTAACATGTGATCCGTAACGTTTCAGCAAAAAAGATCCAGATCATTTTTTGCTGAAACGCAGCTTATATCAAAATCTAGAGAATCGAATAAGAAGAGCGTAAAAAGCGCAGCGCCAGCATTTGCACCTTGAACAGCTGTTAGACTTGTTTCGTTTCCACCACATCCCATCCATTGGTTGCACTCAAGAAATTTTATTTTTAATTTATTAGTTGGTTTTGTCCGGTTCAGTGAAGTTATAAACATGGAAGAATAAATTAAAATTGGAAATATAATATATGTTTTGCTAACATTTAATCTAAAAAAGCCACTTCAAATTTGTATGTTAAAAGTGCCATAACAACAAACAATTTGTTGTGTTACAGAAGAGGTGGCTTAACCTAAGTAAACTAAGATTGCGCCAGTATTGGTTGTGCTAATCATTAGACAAAAATAAATGTATTTATTCACATAGCAAAAGTTCATTTAATTGAATTAAAATGAAATTCGCTTGGAATTATGTATTTGTACTCATCTTGTTGGCGTACATGATAGGCTCTGGTGTGCTACTATTTTCACGAGGTTTTCTACTCTCGCGTGTCTCCAAAACAGATGTCAGCTCTTGTCGTCGTTTATCCACAAATCCAAATGATGTAAGGATATAAAATAATTTAAATTAAATATATAAATATAATTTTTTTTTATTTTATTAGGAATACTATCTCACTGAAGAGATTGTGCAAGAAATCTTTAAAGATGTTAATGCTTCATCGAATTTATGTCTTCCACAAAAGTCAAAAGTAATTATTTTATTAATAGACGCGCTCAAATATGAATTTGGAATATTTAACGAGAATTCAATAAATCCATTGGCTTTTGAAAATAAATTGCCCATAATGCATGAACTACTGAAACAGTTCCCAGAACATACACGTATGATGCGTTTTAAGGCTGATCCACCCACCACAACATTACAACGTTTAAAAGGTCTCACAACTGGTAGTTTGCCAACTTTTATTGATATTGGTTCGAATTTCGCTTCGCCAGAAATCAACGAAGACAATATTATCGATCAAATGGTTAAAAATAATGTGCCTGTAGTGTTTATGGGTGATAGTACTTGGACAGATTTGTACCCACGTCGTTTTAAACGTACATATGCATATCCTAGTTTTGATATATTCGATTTGGATACAGTTGATACGAGAATAGAAAAACATTTACCTAATGAATTGGTTAAATCAGATTGGCAAGTGTTAATTGCACATTTTTTGGGCGTTGATCATTGTGGACATAAGCATGGACCTATGCACCATGAAATGGCACGTAAGCTAACCGAAATGAACAATGTTATAAGGTTAGTGTAATTTTAATTAAGAAAACTTTGAGAATAACTTATTGATTATTAATTTTTATAGAATGGTTATTGATAAAATGGATAATGATACTACGCTTTTTGTAATGGGAGATCATGGTATGACCGCTTCGGGTGATCATGGCGGCGATACTGATGATGAAACAAATGCTCTGTTGTTTGCTTATTCCAAACATAATGAGTTTATCAGCAGTAGCTATGGTTCAGATAAAGAAATACTGCAACAGGTTAGTGATAATATTAAATTTTAATGTTTACACTAGTTTAAGAGTCTAAGCACACGTATTTCGATATGTGTACATATATCTTATGACGTCATTTTAATCTAATTTTAAACAAACTGACGTTTCTAACTAAAAAAAAGATAAGAGGTTGTACGTGTAGTATTTCACCTTTTGATAAAATTAATATTTTTATCTATTTCGAAAAATTTGACTTTATTTAAGGCTTATTGAATGATTTAATATAAATATTAATTTTATTTTTCATCTTAGGGGCCTGTCATGGGCACATCAAATGTGAAATTGTTGTTTTAATGTAAAAATTACAAATAAAAAATTGACATTGATTGCAAGAGATAAATTATGATTAAAATTTTATCACGGTATAGAAATTCTTTTACCTTATCACGTTCAAAACCTCAAACAAACCCCCCTGTTTATACCTCATCATACAAAAAAACAATGTTTTTGACTAAAAAATGTTAAAATTCGCATCTTTTGAGAGCAAATATATATATATATATATATGACCATTACCTACAGACAAAATATTGCCTTTAAAATGTAGGTACTTGAGATTTGACTGTCTGCATAACATATCTTCATGATCATGACAAAAATGAATTTAAAACTGAACTGACCATTCTTTATATGACTGTTTACTATTTTAGGGGACCTGTTACTAAAAAGCATTTTTATCTTTGCCAAAGGTTCAAGGGGGTTTTTGAATCTCTGAGTTTTTTCATACGGTAACACAATAGACCTAAGTGGATCCTTAGGATTGCCGCTATAATCTATCCTTACCTAGCATCTTTATGTTCACCACCACCAGACATAACAACAGCTCATTAAACAATTGAAGGTATTATAAGCAGTGTTTCTCACCGAAACGTTTTTCTCAAGGTTGATGCTTGCTTCCTTTTTCGTTATCCGCCATATTTCACACCATATGTAGCTACAGTTGCAGATCAACTTTATATATTTAATCTCTTTAGGGGCTTTCTTTTTTAATGATCTTGGTAAACTCTCTCTGCACTGCATTATAGGCTTTGCCAAAGGTTCTAAGCGGTTTTAACCCTTAAGTTTTTAATTATACAGTAACGCAATGTGCTTATAGGTCTGAGTGGATCCCTTGAGATCGCCGGTATAACCTAACCTAAACTATTTAATCTCTTCTTCATTTTTCTAGATAGTATGTTTGAGCATAGGTTTCTTTGTATGACATAAACTTGAATTGTTTACTTGATTAAATAGATGGAAAAATCTTATAAATTTTTTATTAATTTAAACAGTATCTATTATCAATCATCTTATTATAAAATTATGTATAATGTAACAATTATATAGTTATTCAATTGAATTTAAAATTACAAATTTACAGATTTTTTATAACAGCTGTGTATAAGAAGGCTATGAGTCAAAACTCCTCCGCCTAATTTAATATTTAATTTTAATTTATTCATTTCAATATTTTCATTATTTTAATATTATTACACCCTTTCTTTTTTTTTTTTTTTCTATGTTAATTTTAACGTACAACTTTCATATTTATATAAAAATGCATTTAAAAGGTGTACATGTTAATTTATATAATATTTAAAATTCTTTCAAAATATTTCGTCCATTATTTTTTTTCTATAAATAGTTGCTTCATTAATAAAAGCGCTAAGCAAGAACCAATTTTCTCCATTTAATAATGAAATTACATCTGTTTTTTCTAAAGATACTTTTCTAAAATACTTAAACCTAATCTCCTGTAATATAGGACAGATCCCCATAAAATGTTGGACGTCTTCAATTACACCAAGATTGCAAAGGGTGCAGTCTACATTTACTTGGCTTTCGTAAGGAATATATGCCAAGCGTAATAGTTCGCCTCGTGTTTTAAATATTCTTGTAATATCTATTTCTCTGTACTTGGAATTAAAATAATTAACAATTATATATAAATTTTTGTTATAAAGCTTAGAACTATTAAAAAGAAATTATTAACATATATATTTTTTTTCATTTTAGATTGATCTGGTACCAAGTCTTGCAACAATCCTAGGTATTCCCATACCTTATTCAAATTTGGGTCTAGTTAATTTCAATATAGTACCAGATGTTGCCGTACCACATATGCATAAAATCCAAGTACTGCTATTACACGCCTGGCAGAATGCACAACAAATTTATAAATATTTCTATAGTTACGCACTGGAAAATAAACGCACATTCGATGTTGAAGATATGGATAAACTAGATACAGAGTTTATTTTACTGACGCATCGCGTAAAAGCCATCTACAATGAAGCTGCATTTAAATCCTTTTTCGGTGATGTAAACATACAACTTCGACAAGTTCTCAAGACTTGCCGCGAAATTTGGGTTAAGTTCGATGCAAATCAAATGTCACAGGGATTACTGATAACATTCTTACCTATTTTCTTCACATTTTTATTAATCAACAATACACGAGCTGGAGATTTTTACAAAATCTTTACAGCGAAAGGAATTACCTACATTTATTTATTGAATTTGGCAGCTGGCGTGTTTGGCTACCGATATTTCAAGAACTTTTCATTTAAAACCGAAGAAAATGGCATTATATTTTTTACAAATATTATGAGCATATTAATTTTAATGTTCTATACATTTCAAAACTGGTCGACGATCGCTTTGAATTGGTCCGGTGTTAAACGTTTTGGAAATATGCCGACGCGCGTAATCATTTTCTTCACAAGCAGCGTATTTTTCTCGAATAGCTTTATAGTGCAGGAACCTAAAATACTGGCCTATTTGTTGGTTGGTGTTTTAATATTACTCGTCTTTGAGTTGCTACGGAGAAGTGTACGTATTGATTTTAAAACTAAATTTAAGGTGTCACAATTCTTAAAATCAGCCACATTTAAACTAATACTCATCACAATATTGGCTATAGTATTCGTACGTTTTGCATTTTTGCTGTTCCGTTGTCGTGAAGAACAAGGAAATTGTGCAGATTTTTCCAACAACTCAACCGGTTTCTCCCTGAAAAAACCATCGACCGGTAAAGCTTATTTAATGGCTGTAGTTATTATTGTCTTATACACTACGCTTACACGTTTATATTTGCGTTCTTGCGGTAATTTGACGGGGAACTCTGTTAATGTACTATTAGCACGTTACGGTCCGACCATTGCGTCCATATGCGCTGGCGGACACATACTTTTGTCAAGCAGTTCTGTCAAGAATATACAACGTTCACATATAGATGCTATGGCTTTGGTTATTTACGCTTTGCTATTAGTTCAGATTATAGTGCTAAGCATTGCACCACTAATGGTGTTTGTGTTGCCACCTAAAAATAATTCCACTGTAACTGTCAAACGAGGCGAGAGCATTGTACCAGAAATATTTAAAAAAATGAAGCGCATATATGAAGGAGATGAGTCTGAAAAACGTTTTGAGATACCAGTAGTCTATGGTCTTGCCACTATCTATTCCTCGGTTGTGATATCTTTTGGTGTATTTTTAGCAATCATGCTTGTAGTACTACTTGAACCAAAATCAGCTATCGGCATTATTATCTGCCTAGCGATAGGAGCGGTAATACTATCCGTGCATTCCATTTTGCGATATAGAACTGCAAATAATTTTGGTGAGTCTCAAATTTTTTTTTTTTTTTATATATTATAAAGAACTAAAGAATTTTATATCTTTTCCTTACAGAGACATGCATACAACCCACATTTACTGCTATTGTTGGTTGGTTTCTCTTAGCACATTTTTGTTTCTATGCAACCTCACATCAAACTACATTATCTCAAATTGATTGGCGTGCAGCTTTTGTCGGACGTACAACCAGCATTGGTCAATCCAATTTTATATCTGGAATTTTAGTTATCTTAAATACTTTCTGTGGTCAAATACTTTTCTTTTGCTTATATGGCTTACTGAGCACGGAAACATTCTCCATCTTTGCACTATTTCCTTCGCTTATTAAAACTAACTCAAATCGTGATACTCGCAAAGGAGAAGCATTAGAATCGCGTGCCAATAACACAGCACAACCACGTTCGCTTGTGGAAATCTCGAACGAATGTGTTGGATTTGATATGACACGTGGAGAACTAACACTTTTCGAAAATGAATCTATATTTCTTGGCACAGTTTTCAAGCTAGCAGCACAATTTTTCATGTTGCAAGGCGTAAAGGTGAAGATTAAAACTACTTACAGAATTGTGTGAACATATTTAATCAGCCTTTTTATTTTAGATATTTTGTGCTATGATGGCCTGCACAATACACTGTCGTCATTTAATGGTCTGGAAAATATTCGCACCACGCTTTATATATGAAGCATTGGCCACATTTGTCAGTTTCCCCGCGCTCATTGTAGGTTATTTACTTATCGTACGGATACACTTCGCGGTAGACAGTTTAGTGAAAAGAATAAATAAAGTGAAATGAAGCTAAGAATTTTTATCGTGTAGGTTAGCACCAATCCAATGTGGTCATTAATTGTTTACACATTTTTGTTAATTATTTATTAAATTGCTTACTTGTATTGTAAGCATTTGTATTGAAACTGCTAGTCACTTAGAAATAATGGCTACAGTACAAAGACTTAATTGTATTAATGAAAACAGCAATAAGCTTTTTTAAAGTTTTGTATTAATTCTAGCTTAGCTTTTATAGTATAGTAAATTATATTAATAGACAAAATGCCGTTTAATTTGAAACTACCTCATCCAACTACGTCGAATTTCCTGGAATGCTGTTAAAAATGTGAGTTATACTATTTTATACATAATATTGTGTATGTGGAGTAGTATAAAATCATTTGTATTAACACATATAGTAAGTTAATCTAATACGTAATTTTGTGTAAGTAGCAACTGAAGAGATTTTAATCGTGTGAAGTTAATTATTTGTTTAGTTGTAAAAATAGTATCAATCTTTGTTTTAAACATACTAGCAATTGTAAGTGGTCTTTAAATTTTAGTAATTCTTGAAATTTAACAACTAAAAAAACAAACATTTAAAGTGATTTAAATACGTTCGATTTTGAAGCCTTGCTTTTTATACCTTGCCAATCATGTGAAATCAAATATATAAGCTTTCAATACTATATAACTAAATTATCACCCAACCAATTTTGTAAAACTAAACAGACAATTCTATGATTTTGAATGTATACCCTATCAATGCTGTGGAACCAATCCTATAAAACCAAATGTATACCCAGTCAATTCTGTGAAACCAAATGTAAGGTCGGACAATCTGTGCAACAAATCTATATGCAATCAACACTGTATTTAACAAAAAAATATATTCAACTAATCCGTGAAACCAAATTTAATGCCACTCAATCATATGAAACCAAATACTCAATCATTTCTTTGAGGCCAAATGTATACCTAATCAATTTTGTAAAATCAAATGTATATCCAGTCAATTTAATGAAGCCAAATGAACGGCCAGACAATCTTGTAATATCAAATGTATGATCAGTCAATTCTCTGAAAAAAGTCTGATATACTGTGGAACCAAAGTTATATTTCATCAATTCCGTGAAACCAAATTTAAACCTAATCAATCATATGAAACCAAATATATACCCGATCAATTTTGTGGAGTCAAATTTATATTCAATCAATCGTATGGAAGCAATTATATATCGTGTTAATTTTATGTAACCAAATTTAAGTCCAAACTATCATATGAAACCACATACATACCCAATCAATTTTGTGGAACCCAATGTATATAGTCAATTTTCTGGAACCAAAAGTACAGCCATTCGATCCTTCAGGTCCAAATGTATATCGTGTTAATTCTATGG